TCCGAATGTTATCTGTGGCATACGGTGAAGCTGTAAAAAATGTTCTCAGAGGGCCGAGAAGATGTGAACGACGAACAACGTGCCGGACGCCCCAGCATGTCAACAACAGACGATAACATTGATAAAGTGAAGAAAATATTATTGGCCAATCATCGAATCACCTTTAGAGAAGTTGCTGAGGACCTAAACACATCGATTGGCTCGTGCCATTCGATTTTAAGTAATGATTTGGGCATGAGTCGGGTCGCCGCGAAATTCGTGCCAAACTTACTCAATTTGGATCAAAAACAGCATAGCGTTAACATTGCTCAGGAGATGTTGAGCTCGATCCGTGACGACCCAAATATGCTCCAGAGGGTTATAAATGATGACGAATTATGGGTTTATGGTTATGACGTGGAAACCAAAGCTCAATCATCCCAATGGAAGCTGCCACATGAGCCAAGACCGAAAAAAGCACGCCAAGTTCGGTCCAACGAGAAGGTTTCGCTCACAGTTTTCTTCGATTGCAGGGGCGTGGTGCATCATGAGTTCTTGCCATGGGGTAGTACGGTCAATAAGAAATATTACCTGCAAATAATGCGCAATTCGCGCGAAGCAATCCGCCAGAAACGCCCGGATTTGTGCAAGAACAAAAACTGGCTTTTGTACCTTGATAACGTCCCTCACACATCGTTGCTTGTGCACGAATATTTATCCAAAAACCACACAGTACTGGTCCCACAGCCACCGTATTCCCCAGACCTGGCCCCCTGTGCCTTTTTCCTGTTCCCAAAACTGAAGAGGCCCATGAAAGGATGACGCTACGCCACGAGTGAGGAGATAAAGACGGCATCGAAGGAGGAACTGAAGAAGATCACGAAAAATCCGAGGGGATTACTTTGAAGGAGACATAATAGATATTCATGAATAAATAAATAATTTTTGAAAAATACTAAATTCGCGTTACTTTTTGAACAGACTGTGTATAATTCGATCCTGTGAATCAAGTGTTCTGAACTAACTTTAGCATGTGGGTAGGATCTGAGAATATTACTACGGTATTATTGTCAACTGTAAAAGATTACATATTTTAACTATATTATATCTTTATAACTACAGAAAAAAATGTTTGAAAGTAAATTTGTAGAAATATTGTCATGTTGAAAGATAAGTTTGAGTATCTGTTGAAAACTTTACACAGTTTTTGTGAGTGCGAATGCCACCATCAACACAACATGTTGTGTGATTCATTTTATGCGATTTGTTACAAAACATTAAGTGTTGGATGTTTCTCAGTGCAAACGTACTGTAACCGTGTTTGGACTAAAGCGATTTTCACAAAAAAACCTGTTTTAATTCTGTCAATGTATCAAAAAGCGTTTGCATAGTCAAAAACATGTTGTAATGAAATATTTTTGACAGTTTATTGTACATTACATATTGTAACTATATTATATCTATATAAATACAGAAACAAAATGTTTGAAAACAAATTAGAAATATTGGCATGTTGAAAGATAGGTTTGAATATCTGTTGAAAATTTCACACAGTTTTTGTGAGAGCGAACGCCACCATCAACAAAACATGGTGACTGATTTATTTTATGCGATTTGTTTCAAAACATTACGTGTTGGATGTTTTTCAGTGCAAACGTACTGTAATGGCACATCAATAGATGTGTCTATCGAATAGAAAAACGACAATCACCTTGTAAAAGAAAGAAGGTGAGAATAATATAGCTATTTTGTACTGTGTTAAACGTTATATGTACACAGACTTCAGCTATAATTACTCTGAGTACACGGACCTCTATTTTATACAAGTACACTGACTTGTTACACCGTGACATACGAGGGCGACACTGAAAATTTCGGGAATCAAGGAAGTGACACAACATTACTATTTGAAAATGTATTTATTGCTTTTCGAAGTATTCTCCGCGAAATTTGACACATTTTTCCATACGATGGAACCAATCATTGAAGCAACCATTCCATTCGGAAGTTGGGGTCTTCAAAATGGCCGTTTTGTAGGCGTCCACAGCTTCTTCAGGTGATGAAAATTCCTGTCCACGCAATTCATTCTTTATTTTAGAGAAAAAAAAATTATTAGGGCTTAGGTCAGAGCTGTACGGCGGATGGTCTAATAATTCTATGTTTTCTTGCTCTAAAAACTCTTTTGTTCTGTGTGCGGTGTGAGAACTCGCATTGTCGTGATGGAGGATGATGCGGCGGTTGCAGTTCTCTTTACGGAGTTCAGAAACGACCTGTGGCAAACAAATGCTAGCATACCATTCTGCATTAACCGTTATTTGTGCCTCAAGAGGAATAGTCGTAACATGACCGGTTTTGGAGATACACGTGGCCACCATTTTTTTTGCAACACTCCGTGAACGAACAATTTTTGTTGGCTCTAACTCATTTTCCAACACCAAAACTCGTGACTGGTTTTTTTGTTTCGGGTTCGTACGTATATATCCAGGATTCGTCACATAATACGATGTTGTATACAGCATTTAAGGAACCTGCGTAGAATCTTTCGAGAGTTCTGACGCACCAAGTAACGCGAGCCGCTTTTTGCTCTTCACAGAGCGAATGCGGTATCCATCGGGAAAACAACTTTTTTACACCTAATTGTTCATTCAATATTATTTGTATTTGACTCATGTTGTATGTGTAACTATGCAAGTATGTAATGCAATGCAATGCAAGATTAAATGTTGCTGATGAGTACCACTCAAATACTGATATTGTAGGATGCAAAATGAAACACTGTTTATCGTGAGGCCGTGCTAATGGTACTGAGTTTATTATAAGAACAATAAGTGTGTACAACGCATTGAAATGATGTGAAACACGAGCACGCGCTCCAATTTCGCTAACATATAAAAATGTACGGGTTTACTCGTACATATTGCCATGTCTTAAACAAAGAAAGAGAATAAAATCTAAAAAGCATACAAAAATAAGAAAAATATTATTCGTCTATTTTACACTCGAACTTAATAATCTTGTCAAACGTTGTGGATGTAGTCTTATCCGCAGTGCGCGAACCGCTGAGTATGCGGCGCGCGGTCGACGCTGGCGGCGGGCTGGTGGGCGCGGGGGGCGCCCCTAGTTTTCCTGCGGCTACTATGAAGTACATGATGTATATCATAACGTAGTGGTGTCATCATTTGATATCCCTTCATCAGATTGACTCAGCAAGTCTTGTATTTGCCCCTTGATCTTCCAAAATGTATTATTGTGATATTCAGCAACAAATGGCAGCTGGTTGGTAGATGTATAGATGACAGAGTTCAATATGGACTCTTCATCCGTACTCCCGATGTCAAAACTTCCTGTATATATTTCACTCTTATAGTCCTGCTGGCCTTGTATAGAAAACGTGTCCCCCTTAAGAATGCAATCTTGACCTATACTGATAAGACCGCTGCCGCGCAGACTCGTCGTCGCCAGCCCAGACGAGCATAATATGCGGATCTTGCATTCTTTGCAGCATGTGTACAGCCAGTTATCACGAGAGTGTAATTTAATCCATCCGTCGGGGCACTCCTTTGTTTCTCTACAATATGTTTGATTGCTGTCATCCGTGATTATTTTACGTCACATATAGACTGACCCACTTTAAGTTCGTATAATGGACTAGTAATGGGGCATAATAGGTTAACGTCATTGTATCTTATGCAGAATTGTAAATCATTCTCTGACAGCGACATAAAGGTATCTTTTCGTAAGTAGAATGCTATGTAGTCGGTAGAAGGTGTGACTTAGACTGAGTTCAAATTTCTTCCTTGCGGTATAGGTATGACTCTACTAAGTTCATAAGTGTCAGTACTCAGTAGTGGCACCTTCACTTCAATTATGACGTAATCTTCGGTTATTCTTGCCTTTACTCGTAGCATTTTGAATAACTCCTTAATATTTTGAACGTTGACCGGGACTAAAGACTCTCCCTGGACATGTCTTGATATGATGTTTAACTGTTCTTGCAGTTGTGCCGGAGAAAGCAAGTGAACATCCAGCCTACCGTGATATATGTTCGTAACAGTATTACAGCTCGTTCACACTAGTCGTAAGTCGCATATGACTAAAAGTCGAAAGTCTGATGTACCTGTTCACACTGCGTCGCGAGTCGTATAGGTCGTAGTTTCGCGCCATTCGGTACGTAGCGAACTCACGAGATGGACGCCGACGAGGAACTTGTTGTGCTCTACTACTTACGAAAAATTAAAAAAGTTGAAAAAAAAGTCAATTCCAAGAAAATACTGGATGCACCCAATCCTAACAGAAAGATCGACTTTAGGAAGTTATAAAAATTTAATACATGAATTAAAAAATGACGAACGAAAATTCTTTAATTATTTTAGAATGTCACAAGCAACTTTTAACGACCTACTGTCAAGAGTTTCTGCGAGCATCACGTATCGGAATACGACATTTAGAGATTGCATTTGTCCTGAAGAAAGACTGTCGATATTTCTTAGGTAAGTGTTTTTTTTAGAACCACACTACAACTGCTACAAATATTCAGATTGTATTTGTAGTGTAGTAGTCTGATTGTAGCAGTTGTAGTGTGATTTCTTAGGTGTATTGAAATTGAAACAAAAGTTATTTTAACTTGTTTATTTTAAGTAGGTAAACAGCGCAACATATTACAATAATTCAAAAATCGGAGAAATTCAGTACTTTTCGACAAAGTAGATGCAGCAGGCGATCCTTCCTCATACGTTTGACGTCTTTCATATCCAGACCCATGTGGTGTAAGAACAGCCTGGTTTTGAGAGGAATATCCGGATTCATCGGTAGATAAATAATTATAGTTCTGTGTCGAATACCCCGATCGCCGTGTGCTATCACGCGCGTAATTATAATTATTTGCATAAAGTCTGTTTTCACGTTTCTTTTTGATTTGTTGTATCAGTGATAATACACCTGATTGAAGCTCCAACGTTTCGTCATCGCCGAAAGACGTAACAGAGGGTAGGATACCTTTAAAAAATGATAAAATTGGGGGATCAGTTTGTTGTGATAGCCTGCTGTCTAAAAAACTCGCTCATTTTGACATCTAAGTCCATTATATGTTGCTGTGGTGGCATGGTCTTTTGTCTTTTAGAAGTGCTTGGTTGCGAATTTTCAGACAACTGAGTACTGCCTTCTGTCGTTGGTTGAGATATACGCGACGCAACAGACTCTTTAGGAGGATTAGGTCTAGCAACTTTACGCAAAAAATCCATTTGCTCTTTATATACATATGGCTTTGACGACTTTGCCCCTGATCCTGATTTTTTTTTCATCATTTTTGTTTGTTCGGATCCAGACATTCCGTAAGTTCGTCCACTTGGTCAATACTAATTTACCTGAAATTATATTGCAACATTATTTTCAGATATTGTGCGTCAGGATGTTCCTTCAAAGACCTGCACTACAATTTCAGAGTCGGGGTATCAACTGTTAGTAAAATTATCAAAGAAATGAGTTGCATTATCTGGGATACATTAAAAGAAGAGTTTATGAAGTTGCCCGACAATGAAAATAAATGGGAAAACATCGCAAATGGTTTTGATATTAAAGCTAACTTCCCACACTGTATTGGAGCCGTCGACGGCAAGCATATTAGAGTAGTGAAACCAAATGAAAGCGGCTCGATGTATTTCAGTTACAAAGGTTATTTTTCATTTGTTTTACTAGCTGTTGTTGATGCAGAATACCGTTTCATTTATATAAGTGTTGGTTCATATGGGAAAGAATGCGATTCTTCCATATTCAAGGAGACTACCTTTTGGAAGAAACTGAATGATGGTAGTTTAAACATACCAAAGCCAAGGCCTCTTCATGAAACAATCGAAAAGGATATGCCCTATGTACTAGTTGGCGATGAAGCTTTCCCCCTGACGACAAATTTAATGAGACCTTTCGGAGGCAATGATTTAGATGATACGAAAAGAATATTTAATTATCGATTATGCCGTGCAAGAAGATTTGTTGAGTGTGCTTTTGGAATTTTAGCTAATAAATGGAGAATACTGCATCGACCATTGGATGTCCACCCAGACACAGCTATCCATATTGTGAAAGCCTGTGCAGTATTGCATAATTATTTAAGAGAAAGGGATGGTCTAAACTTTGAAGATATTCAACTTGCACTATAGTCTAAGATCCCGATATAAAACGACCTTCACCGAGATGCTTATTTAATGAAACGTATTTTATATTTAATTTAATATGTCTATAAATATAATCCATATGGGTTGCCTAGCAAATTTCAGTCCAGAGTATGTTTTATTAATAATTAAATAAAATTATTTTTTTAAACATTTCACCGGTATGATTATTAGATAAATTCTATTCCAATCGAAAGTATGAAGCCCATAGAATATGCAAACGTTAGGTTGCCTATTCTTTTCCGGTCACAACTATCGGGTTGCCGGGTATAAACAGGTAAATCTGTACTAGCATTTTGCAACGGTCTGTTTATTGAATGAAATTTAAATGAAATTAAAGATTATTTTATTCTGAACACGGTGGTATAGGGTTGCCTGCGAAAAATCAGTCCAGAATTGCGGTTGTCGAATTTTAAAAAGTAAAATATTGCTCCGAGTAAATGTGTGCGATTGAGAGGTCCCAACCGACCATCCCATGCGATAGAAGAGGACACAGCATAGCAGCTGTATAAAGTCCGTCCACTTAAAGAAAGAGAGTGCGCATGCTATTTGGGCTTGGAAAAGAAAAGGATAGCGATAGACTCGTATATATTATGCATCATTTTGGAGTAGTTTATTATTTAAATAGAGAAATGTTATTTAATTTTTTTTAATCAATTAATTATTTATGTGTATATTTTTATGTGACACTAAAGTATATATACATCTTTAGTAAAAAAGAAGGTTATAGTGATACATATATAATACTCCCCTGATTAAAAATATTGATTGAAAAAAAAATTAAAAAAAATTTACTACATGCAAATTATAAATCTATAAATGTAAACAGAGAAATTGAAATCAATTGAAACTATTGGAAAAAAATTCAAAACCCATAAAAGTGAATTTTTTTTTAATCAGGGTAATCTTGCAAGTTTTATTTTTATTATAAGAAGACAAAATAAAAAAAAACAGCAATTAAAAAATTACTTCTATTTATTGTAAAAAAATTAAAAATACAATTTTTTTTTTAAATTATTCAGAATCCGAGTCATCGGACATAAAACTACGATCTTCAACTTCTGAATCTTCTTCGTCATCACTCGCTGTTTCACTTTTTTCGACAATGTCTTCTATCTTTAAAGGTGTATGATCTCCAATGAATCCTACTGGTTTTAAATATTCATCGAAGAACCATCCGCAGTTCTCAGGCTCAAGTTGCATTAAGCCACATGGAATTTACGAAAATAGTTCGTAAAATTTTCTGAGTTAATGATATCCAGCATGGTGGTATGGAGTTGGAGTCGAAGCCTTTTATTTTTTTTAAAAAGTGCTCGCTGAAAAATTACGCTGCAAAAGAATTTGCAGAGTAATTTTTCATAAAAATACGATGTCTCGCATCATTCACACTGGTGCAGTTCCTGATACCGTACATACTAGCCGTAAATTCTTGAACGTTCTTCATTTTTTCATCAATGAAAATATCAGCAGCATCTGTTAGTGATGCAAAAACTGTTTGATATTTTTCATTTTTCGAAAATTGCTGAAAAGGTTTTACTTTCCCTTCGTTGTAAAAGGCTGCCGTGTAATCGCAACCTGTAAATGCATGGAAGGCGGGAAGACTTTGGCATACTTTAATTCCCAACTTCAACGCTAAATCGGTGCAATTAATGCAATCAACAGTTTGACTATTAGTCTTTCTAGTTGCTGAACAGGCAAGCCAAATTTCTGATTCGATAAGTTTGTGCATATTTCCTAACAAAATTATCAAAACGTCAGTATCAGAGGCTTTAATTAAAATCCTTGAGCCTGGTTCCGCTTTAGAAGCATGAAAAATAATCCTTGTATCTGCCTCTTCGTGATGACATTCATAATTAGTTTCTTCAGTTTTTTTTTACGGAATTTTCCTGAACTTGATAAGAGTAGCAGTGATGGTCGACGGTTAAAAAAGATTTTTTTTGTTTTGGATTATTGTTACCAAATGGTCATTTTCCCAATAATCAGCCAGAAACAGCACCAGAGCCTCTTTAAAGCGATAATTTTTAAGGCTTTGCAAAAACTTTTTTGGTCTAGTTTGTTGAGGTCCCGAAATTTTGTACGGAATATCGAATTCTTTTTTGCTCTCACGTTCGCAATCTTTGATTGAGATCAAAAATCAAATGTATTTCTGTAGCGTTTGTTGAACATATTTTTATGAGTATTGCCTCAGCAATTTTATCAAAAGTTTGAGCTATAGAAGATCCGATTAGATGCAAGTAATAAAAACCATCTATTATTTCAACGTTGATATGTGTTGGCTCAACCATTTCAGTTTTGGATTTCAAAACCTTTGCTAACGTTGATTTTGAAGTTTTTAACATCTCTCCGGTACATGCAAAAAAGAGCAGGGGGGCAATGGTGCTAGTGGAAAAGTCAAGCAAAATTCGAGATTAATTTTTTTTTAGGCTTCGTTCCATTTTCAATAATACTTTCTTGTTCTTGTCTTTGGTACTCAAGAGTTTAGTCATACATTGAGAAGCAAAATTGCAGATTTTGTTTCGTTTTATTGGTTTATCGAATCTTGCAGGAGTTGAAGAGCATTCTGAGATAAAATTTAATTTTTGTTGATAGCCTGCTGTTTTCACGTTCAGCAGGAAATCAGCAACTTCTTTAGACGCAGCTTTGCCGGTTGAAATGTTGAATAATGTATCTTTGTCAATAGTGTCATCAAATGGATTCATCGTACATTTTATTGCTTCAATGATACTGTTAAGATTTTTTTTTGTCTTTCTTAATTTTACTTTGTTGCAATGAGTGCGAAGTATCATCTTTTTTCGTTAATCCGATATTTTGTTTGATAGATGTTAATATCTTCGTCCTCATGCTGTGACTGAGCGCCCATCTTTGACGTGCAGATATTGAGTCAGCAGCAAGATTATCAGCCAATTGATTGCTAGCATCAGCATTGATAGTTTGCTCTAGCGTCAAGTCAACCGGTGATCGAGCAAAATTTGCTGCAGTTCGTCTAATTCCAAAGGCGCCTCGACGAAATTCAGCTACCAAAGATGAATTATTAGTATACAAATTGATTAAATTGCTCAAATGTAACAAGGACCATCTGGCATAATTGGGCTGGTTTAACGCAAAAAATATATCAGACATGTTAAAAATCTAGTCCACGTACAGTTCAAAGTTACTGGTGCGGATACTTCTGGAAAACCGATGGTATAAATTAATAAACTCACAGTACTGGTAATAAAATTGAGCAGTTTTCCCTTTTTCTCCGATCAAAGTCTGATTGCAGAATTCTTTATAACCGTTAACAATACGACTCAATAAATCTGGTAACTCGATTGTTTCGTTGACGTCATTCGCAGTCTGATTTGATGCATTCTGTATTTGCGTTTGCAGCAGTTCATCCATCGCCTCAAGTGTTACATTAGTTGTGGATAAATACTGTTCGAAATGTAATATTTGTAATGCGGCTGTGGTTAGCGGATGTAAGCGCTTGCAACGATTGAAATGTTTGCTATTCAAGAAGCTATTCATGGAGCCGCCGGCTAATACTTCTGCTTGCACCAATATTTCCACTAATCCACTACTGTCAATATATTTTCCGATGGCTCTAAAAAATGCCATCTCTGTGTGGAAAGCTCCCAAGTTAACAGAAATGTTATTGTATAGCGGTTTTTCTTGTTCTTGAATTTGCATTGCCATTTTTGCTATCGCTAAATCATATGTCACAATAATTTCTGGCTGCTGACATTTTTCAGCGATTTCTTTAGCCATGTTTAATGTTTCATTGACTACCGCATACGACGTTGGTGATGAATTTATGGGGGGCAAATATTCAACTTTTTGCTTCTCACTGTGGTCAAAAGATATCATACAGTTATAACCCAACCACATAGGAACGGAATCAATTCTTGACAACGACATATAATAAATCTTTATCTGATGCTATTTCCGTAGCACCTTTGCATAACTCCGTTGTATTGGTAAACGAATCTACAGTAATCAGCTGCATACTTGCCTTAGGTTTAGAATAATATGGCCGAATTTCTCGTGATATTTCATTGAAACGCCTTCTCTTGCGGGTAGGTCCTTCTCCATTTTCGTTGTCATTTACTTGAGACGCTGATGAAGTTGTAGCTTCACCATCATCAAAATTATCAGTTCCATCACTAGAGAATTGATAAATAATTCCAACTGTGTCGTGCATTGTGTCCTTTCCAGAAGTTGTGTCAACGAAGCGGTCGAAATTGTCGAACGCTACGAACGCTACGTGGGTGCTGTGTTCATTCGCTGCAGTGATGCCTTTTGGTATAACTTTGTTATCTTGGATCGATGTATATGTCATTTCGGTTTCCAATTCTTCTGCCAAATTATATCTAATTCTATGGCCATACCTATTAAGTATTTTAATTACTTGCCGAGAGTTGGCTAAAGACTTTACTGTCAATCCAAGGGACAAACTTTTTGAGGGCTTACATGCACCCCTAGTGACAGCATAAATAATATCACTACATATTGACGTTATTTTAACTTTTAGTCCGTTCGAATCTTCATCAGAAAAATTAGGCCCTTCGATAATCTTATTTCGCAATAAAATCAATTAATTGCTTAGGAATGTCACATTCTCCACAAATGACATCATCAGCTGTTATGTTGCGAGAAAGCGGATGGGCATCTATATTTTAATGCAGCTTCTCAAATAATATGTTACATTTTCAAACTCATAATCATTTCTTGTCTCCAAAAGTTTGAAATTGTTTGCCATTACAGAGACGTCCATGTCTGTTTTATACACAATTTTTTTGTTACGTATTCCCATTGACGCTTCAATCGTAATACGATCATCGAATTTCTTCATTAATTTTTTTGCAAGGTTTCACATCGGTAATCTTGAATATCATCGAAATCAATTTCATGATTTCCAAACTCTAACAATAAAGCTTGGTATCTTAAAAATAATTGAGCCAAGTACATAACCTTGTTGTTTTCAATTATTTCTGTTTCAATGAAATTCGATATGGATTGAAAGGCCAACTGATGTAACTGTCTATATTTACTATAGTTGGAATGGGTAGATTCTTCCGTGGACCGCTTATTTTTCGATTGATACACTGCGTAACAAGGCAGATGGTACGCGATAGTTTGATGTTGAAGTTTGGAGAGAATCACCGAATCGCCAAAATTTTGCGCTATATTTTTTATCTGTAGTGGTACTTTGTCATCATTAGGGACAGTAAGATTGACCAGCTTCTTCCCACATCTCTTTTGGCTGTGGTCACAAAAAAAGGCAAATAATCTTGCTTGATGTAGATGCTGTTGATGTTGACTGCTCCTAAAAGAATTAAATCATTCTTTGAGTAAAAATCGATGAAAATAAATATAATTGAAAATACAAGTTCAATTAATAGATTTTCATATCATTTTTTAAAAAAGCTTAAAAAAAAAACAAAAAATATTTTATTACCTTGTCAAAGTCCCCAGAAGTTTGGGACAAGTCTTCAACATTACTCGTTTCATCTTCAGCAACTGTAGCACAGGAATCGACACTATAGTTCAACTGTTTTGATTCTTCTTCTGTAGTAGATACATTGGTATGCTCCTAAAAAAATAGTTCTTTCGATTAAATGAAAATGTTTTGATATATAAATTTTATAAACCTCTTGATAAGAATAGTTGATTGAAAACATCCTCATTAATTGTTACAAAAAAAAAGGAAATCAGATCATTTTCTTGTTTAATTTATAAATTACCGTTTTTAAGTAAATTACAAAAAAATTATGTGTGTCGAAAATTAACAAAACCATAGGTGAATTTTACTAACAATTATTTAAACATAAAAAAAAATATAGAAAATGTATTAGCTAAGATAATTTTAAAGATTCAATTATTATGTACTTACTGTATATTCAGCACTAAAATTAAGAAATTCTTCGTTATATTTTTTATTCAAAACGGTCACTTTTTTGTAGCAAGTGGTATGATAACGTACAAATTGAAGAGACGCACTGGGTAGCTCAACAAAATTGTATTTAAAGTGTTTTTTTTACGAAAAGCTAACTTTAATACACAGTTTTTAAAAGTTTCATCATTAAAATCAATTATTTCATCATCCGATCCACACAAAAAACACTTTTTTTGCCATTTTTTCCAACAATAAATAGTAGCACGTTTTTTCAATTGTATTTATAGCGACACTCTACTCCAAAATGATGCATAGTATATACGAGTCTACCGCTATCCTTTTCTTTTCCAAGCCCAAATAGCATGCGCACTCTCTTTCTTTAAGTGGGCGGACTTTAAACAGCTGCTATGCTGTGTCCTCTTCTATCGCATGGGATGGTCGGTTGAGACCTCTCAGTCGCACACATTCACTCGGAGCAATATTTTACTTTTTAAAATTCGACAACCGCAATTCTGGACTGATTTTTCGCAGGCAACCCTATACCACCGTGTTCAGAATAAAATAATCTTTAATTTCATTTAAATTTCATTCAATAAACAGACCGTTGCAAAATGCTAGTACAGATTTACCTGTTTATACCTGGCAACCCGATAGTTGTGACCGGAAAAGAATAGGCAACCTAACGTTTGCATATTCTATGGGCTTCATACTTTCGATTGGTATAGAATTTATCTAATAATCATACCGGTGAAATGTTTAAAAAAATATATTTTTTTTAATTATTAATTAAACATACTCTGGACTGAAATTTGCTAGGCAACCCATATGGATTATATTTATTGACATATTAAATTAAATATAAAATACGTTTCATTAAATAAGCATCTCGGTGAAGGTCGTTTTATATCGGGATCTTATACTACTAGAACAATCGATACAAGAACAAGATCAACAACAGAGAGTACATAATCCTCGTGGTGGTCCGATTGCAAATGTATACGATCGGACTTTGAAGACTATTTTACTTCCCCGATTGGTTCGCTGCCTTGGCAAACTAATGCGCGATACGCATAATATAAATGAGTTAAAAATTAATAATACAACTGTAAATACATAACTATGTAGTATAATAGTTAATAAACTTTACTGGCACTTACCGAAATGTTGTCTTTCTTTTTCTTCCATGTTTTCAAAATTAGGTATTAGTATGGTACAAATTTCGCGCCAGGCCAATAGTTTCAGATTATTATTTTTGTAGTCATTTAAAGTTTTATCCCAAAGGACTGCTCTTTCGTGAACTAATGGAATTAGTTCTTCGGGTTTTATTTCTTTCTCCATTTTCACACAACAAACAAAAACAGCGCGCGCGCAACGCAACACGACGAATAAAACAAGAATAGAGTGAGCAAGCAATGTGTAGCGAACTAGGAAGCGGGGTGGGGAGAGAGGTAACAACGCGCTCGAGTCGATTAGATGCACGACTAGTGTGAACAGCAACAAGCAGGCACCTATGCGAGCACGATTCGACGCGATTTTTAGTCTTACAACGGGCGCTGGCCCGTCGGATGGTTTTTTGAGTCGTATTAGACTAAAAATCGCGTCTCATCCAATGTGAACAGCTCCATATAAAGTGTATGGTGACCAGAGCATTCGACTTTTAGTCATATGCGACTTACGACTAGTGTGAACCGGCTCTTAATCAGGGTGTCCTGTATTCTTCTTAAATTTGATAAAATGACGTCAAGAGTAACAACATGCGTAGTAAAATAAAATATGTTTATGGCTCGCTGTTTTACTTGTTGACCTTCGCTTGAAAAATTCCTTATTTGTTCGTCGATTCTCGTGAATTGCTTATTCATTATGTATTCATTTCGCTGTATTATATTATTTTCCGCTTCAATTATTGTAGTTTGATTTTTAAGCAACTTTTTCAAATAGATTTCGTTTTGATGTATTAATTTTATGTCTTTAGAGTATTCTTCAGCGAAATTGTCATCCAAAATACCAAATAAATAATTGCTTAATCTTCCCACACCATTAATTAAACCTCTTCTTGTTCTAGAAAGTGATGCAAATTTTATAATATTATTGTAATGTCCTATCTCGTCCAACTCGTGTCTGAACTGAGCCAATGTTGAAGTGCATGTACTTTCTTCATTACAGATGCTGTTTAAATGCTCTAAGTATTTCTCCACTTTTTCAATGTTTTTCCAGAATGTTGACATATTGTAGTATAAGGGTGGATTGAAAAGTACTCGGCCTAACACAGATCCATTCAATTCTAAAAATCAAATCTACCCACATTATTTAGTTCAGTTCAGACTAGTTCATTGTGTGAAGTTCGAAACGTGTGCGATAATTAGTTGTGATTTTATAAATTTATTAACAAAGAAATCGGACATAATTTCCGCGAATGGAGCAAATCGAGCAGCGTGCCGTCATTAAGTACCTCCATAAGAAGGGGCTATCATCAAAAGCCATCCATGATGACATGGCCAATACATTAGGCGATTGTGCTCTGTCATATTCATCCGTCAAAAAATGGATAGCAGAATTTAAGCGTGGTAGAGAGAGTGTGAAAGATGAACCTCGCTCTGGAAGGCCTTCGACGTCAACTACTGACGAAAATATTAAAAAAGTACTTGATTTAATAATGGGAGACCGCAGATTAAAAATTAGAGAGATAGCCGAGATTATAGGCATCTCTTATGAACGAACTCAAAACATCATTGTCAACGAGTTGGGTTTCCACAAGGTGTCTGCGAGGTGGGTTCCGCGACTGCTTTCAGTTGAACAAAAAAAGGACGCGATTGACTATTTCACGCGACTGTTTGGAGTTATTTGAAGCCGATGTAGATGATTTTTTGAATCGTTTTGTTACTATGGACGAAACATGGGTTCATTACTGTACACTGGAAACAAAACAACAATCAAAACAGTGGAGAAGACCTGGTTCACCACCCCCTAAAAAGGCTAAGTCGATTTTGTCGGCAAATAAGGTGATGGCTTCAGTATTCTGGGACTCGAAAGGTGTGATTATGATTGATTATCTTGAAAGGGGTCAGACTATAAACTCTGATTACTACTGCACCTTACTACGTCGTTTACGAGAGGAAATAAAAGAAAAACGTCGAGGAATGCTCAGAAGAAAAGTCCTGTTTCATCAAGATAACGCCCGTGTTCACACGTCAGTACAGTCAATGGCTGAAATTCACAACTGTGGCTTTGAACTGTTACCGCATCCGCCGTATTCACCTGATCTGGCACTATCAGACTTCTTTCTGTTCCCTAACCTAAAAAAGCACTTGGGAAGTCAAAGATTTTCGACAAACGACGAGGTCAAAGCAGCTGTAGACGCATATTTTGACTCTAAGGAAGAATCATTTTTTTTCAACGGTCTAAATGCTTGGAAGGGGAGGTGGCAAAGTGTATTGAACTTGATGGTGATTATGTAGAAAAATAAAAATATAACTGATTTAGTATGTGTTTATTTTCTTGGTTAGGCCGAGTACTTTTCAATCCACCCTCGTAATTATGATCCAGTGTTTTTCTACAAGTTGCAAATCAGCTGCTCGATCAAAATATAGCGCTTTATTCGTTTCTAAAGGAGTTATTTTGTACTTTTGCTGTATCGACGGTGATATAACTGTCATGAGAAGTAACAGCAAATAAATTAAGTAATTTGGCTTACTTCTAATGCGATTTGACGTGTATCCAGTAGCGCCGGGGTCACCGGCCGCTCGAGACGATTCATCATCTTGATTAGGGAGTACTGGCAAAGGACACAGCTTCGTGATGAGCCGTTTCAAGACCCGTGCTTAGTTTAAAGCGCACCCCGTGCTTACATACCCGTCCTTGCCGGGGTGCACATCGATGACCTTTGCTAACGCCCAGTTAGAAGGAGGTAAATTATCTTCTTTCATCACGACTATGCTGTCCAGTTCTATATTCTTTTGAGGTATATGCCACTTGCTTCTTGTTTGTAACGTGTGCAAATATTCTGCAGACCACCGCTTCCAAAACTCTTTGTGCATCTGCTCAGTTAGCTGCCACCTTGTTTTTACGTTGTCAATATTGTTATGAGATAATGGTTCAGATAGAATAGGACCGCCGATGAGAAAGTGGCCAGGTGATAGGTAATCTATGTCTTCTGGGTTTTCAGTTAAGGAACATAGAGGCCTTGAGTTGAGGCAAGCCTCTATTTGCGCAAGCAGCGTCGAATACTCTTCGAAGGTAAGCTTCTGATGGCCAACTACGCGCTTCAGGTGATACTTTAAACTTTTAACAGCGGCTTCCCATATGCCGCCCGCACTGCTCCACGCAGCCACGTTAAAATGCCAAGTAATTCCCAGCTGACTGACGTCGTCGAGGAAATCAGTGTTGATTGTTTGTAGCGCTTGCTTGTATTCCTTTTGAAGTACACGTGACGCACCCACGAAGTTCGTACCGTTGTCACTGTAAACGTGTAATGGCGTGCCGCGCCGAGCGCACATACGTTTAAATGCAGCTAAAAACGCTGATGCAGTGAGGTCTGACACGAGCTCCAGGTTAACAGCTTTTATAGTTAGGCATATAAAGACAGCTATATAGCCTTTTGTGGTCTTAATGCCTCTCCCTTTATTTGCTTTGACCTCAACATGCCCTGTAAAGTCCACCCCCGTATGTGTAAAGGGGCGTGATGGTACCACTCGAGGGGTCGGCAGATCACCCATGATCTGTGTTCGCCTTTGAGTATTGAGTCGAACACATGTGGTGCACCGGCGTATTATCTTCTTTACCGCTCGCTGTCCACTTATGATCCAATATTTGTTTCGTATGTGTGCCAAAGTCAATTTAACTCCACCATGTAACGTAGTGTGATGAGCGTCCAGTATAAGTAGGTCCGTCATCGTGAATGATAGGGAAGTATAATAGGCTGCTTGCTGGTTGTAGGTAATGTTGAATGTTGCAATCTTCCTTTCATTATCAGAATGCCATCTTTATCGAGAAATGGGTTTAAACTTATAATTGCGCTTTTCCGTGAAATGTTTCCGTTTTTCTTTAATTGGTCTATCTCTTGTGCAGAGCTTTCTGACTGAATTGATTTAATTATTAATTTAGTAGCGTATTGAATTTCATTCACTTTCATTCACATATAACTTGGGAGTGAAATTGTTATTGTTTCGCACGCGCTCACGAGTAATAGTATGAAACGTAATATTCGACATAGCACGCGGGTCGCCTTTGTAACTGAGCTGTATTTATATAGAAGCTCACTGATAAACGGTGAATGGTTAACTTCTGCCGCACATATCCAACTTTTGCTCTTTATATCGATTTCCGGAGCTTCATATTTTTCTGGAGGATACTCTTTGTTCTCCCTGAGCCACGAGGGTCCATCCCACCATAGAGAATACGATAATAGTTGAGATAGTGAAAGTCCTCGCGTGGCACCGTCTGCTGCATTATGCTCTGATTTTGTATGCCTCCAGCATGATGACGGTATGACCTTAATTATTTCATTCACTCGGTTTACCACGTATGTTTTCCATCTTGCAGTATTCCATGAATCCAGCCTAAGTCAATCATTGAGTCCGTCCAGCCATAAATTTGTAATTTGTTTTGAGCTAATGACATCGAAACAATAATCTTTTGTATTAATTTAGATAACAAAACAGCTGCACATAATTCCAGTCGGGGCAATGTAATTCGTTTTTTTTTTGTGGGGCTAGCTTAGTTTTTGCTGCTATGAGGTGTATCCTGGGTTCCTTATGCCCATTATAGGTTTTGATGTAAACTAAATAATATAAACAACTAATAAACTGTAAACTAAATAATACATAAGCCTTTTCGGAGGCATCTGCGAAGCCGTGTAACTGTACGGATGATTGAGTATAGCCGACCCATCTCGGAATTTCAATTTTATTTATGTTCTTTAATTCTTCTTTTAGTTTACTCCACTCATGTTGAATATCTGGTGACAATAATTGGTCCCATTCCGTATGCTCACTCCAAAGTCGTTGGAATGATAGTTTCGTCTTTATTGTACATGGGGCTAACCAACCAAGCGGGTCGAAAAGCTTCGATATGTTTGACAGCATGGAGCGTTTTGTGTCGGGCTTTTGCGTGTTCTCAATCTTATTGTCAAAAGTAAAACTATCAGAGGATGGATGCCAACGTAACCCCAATGCTTTTGTTGTTGATGATGATGAGCTGTTGTTGAAGTTAACAGTAGAGATATTAACTTGGTCCTCAGTTAAATTTTCCAGAAGTCTGGGTTCATTGCTCGACCATTTCCTCAAGTTGAATCCGCCTCCTCGTAATATATCAATTAATTGGCATCGTGCTTGCTTTGCTTCTTCGATATTGTTGCTACCATATTTCAAATCATCAACATAAAATCTCTTCTTCAAGATCTCAGCTGCCATAAGGTAAACGTTAGCGTCATCACTGGCTAACTGCTGCATCGTTCTGAGAGCCAAATATGGGGCTGCTTTCATTCCATATGTAACAGTGCATAATTGAAATTCTTGCATAGCACCATGTTCATTTCGCCATATTATCTTCTGGAGTTGCTGGTCTTCCTCTTGTACTTACTCGATACATCTTTTCGCAATCTGCTGTATATACATATTTGTAAGCACGCCAACTTAGTAATAATTCCAGTATATCACGTTGCAGTTTAGGGCCGTGCTCCATTAAGTCATTCAAGCTAAAGCCAGTCGATGTTTTTTCCGATGCATTAAAAACAGCTCGTAACTTTGTAGTACTAGAGTCAAATTTTAGGACCCCATGATGCGGTAAATAACATACTAGAAATTTACTCTCCACTGCTGGTTTCATATGGTTCATTTCCTTATACTCATTCATGAAATGATTGTATTTATCACATAGTTGCGGATCGTTTTTTGGCTTTCGCTCTCATTGCTTGAACTGTGCAATGGCCTTTAGTTTCGAGTGACCTAATTGCTTTTCAAAGCCTTTCTTCATGGGTAAACGTACTTCATATACCCCATTTGATAATCTTTTAGTCGTTTTGACATAGTAATCTTCACAAAATTGCTCTTCTAAAGTTAATGAGCGTTCTTGCTCCGAAATGTCTTCCATTTCCCAATAATTGCATATGTCTTCGATATTATTCATAGTAAAATAGCAGTTGAATGTTTTCGTCGTAGAACCACACAATATCCAACTCATCTGTATTTGCTGTGCTATTGGTTGGCATGACGATCCTTTTAACAACCCATCCATAATGATTTCAGCATAAACCTTAGCTTCTAAAAGTATGTCAATAGGTTTCGATATGTTGTACTCAGGATCCGCTAATTGCAAGTGTTGTATGTGTGGCCAATTTTTACTCTCGAGTGACGTCACAGGCAGGCAGTTAATAACTTTAGACATTATTAAAGCTTCTGTAGAGAATGCATAATCGGTTGATATGATTTGCAGTGCAATAGTACTTTTCCTCGGCTTTTGTTTGGCGATGTACCGATATCGGAGACAGATGCATGGAAGTTTTGGCGTTTTAGCCCTAATGATGGGTCGCGCGCTGCGTAACGCTCAAGACGCTAAATGAATAATCTGCGAATAAAAATTGAAAACTAGCGCTAAACTTTAAGTTTCGTTCCCAAACATACAAAGTGTTATAGTACAAGTAATACGTAACATAATGATATTTAAAACTGTGTGAAGTGCTCAGTTTATTTGTGTTAAAATCAAAATAAGTTATGTGTTTGTGCGGTACTCTTCAATTATTATCAAGTTATAAAGTCATAAGTTGAACTTTGGACCCATTAACACTTCGTACAAATATACACGCATTTCAATAACTGATCAACTATACTGTGTATTTCGTCGCTTAGTCAGGACATCGGCTAGCCTAGCGGTGGCGGAGTTACGGACGACTTAAACACTGGCGATCTGGAATACACAGTTCGAAACCTGGCGCCACAAGTTATTATTTTAATTAATTATTTTTTTTCTTTTTTATAATTAAACTTTTATTTTTGTCTCTGTTGGGAGAAGGAAAATATAAACATTTTTTTAAATTATTATTTTGTAACCCGAAAGAAGTCAAAAAAGTGCAAAATGATCTGCGGGGGTTGTCGTCTATTACTGAACACAGATTGTTCCTTACATTGCCACACTTGTGATATCAACTATCACTATGAATGCCTAAATATAAACAAGGAGCAGTTTGTAACGCTTTCGAAAGAATTTCGTTCCTCTTGGACCTGCCCTGCATGTGTGAATGTAACAAGACGTATAAAAACTAACTTAAGCACACCTGTACGTCACAATCAGGTACCATCTACGGAACAGTCTATGGACCTATCATGCGAAATTGTGAACAAAAGTGAGGCGCACATACCATCAGATTCGGACTCCATCGAGAAATTTAATGAACTGCTTAATACTATCAATTTGTGGCGTAACGACATGAATTCTAACATAATGAGTATTAGAGACGAAATTAAGAATGATATGAACTCTAACTTTATGAGTATTAGGGAAGAAATTAAAAATACCTTAAGTGACATCCAATCTGAAATTAAGTCTCTACGAGAGGAGCAAGCCACCCTGAGACAAAATGTTTCTAATATAAACATAGAATTATCGTCCCTTCAAAACTCCATTCAATTTCAATCTGACGAACATGGTACTTTGAAACATAGAGTCGATGAAATCGCACGTGTTGCTGGTGAACAGACCACATCAGCAACTGCAGGACTACAGTACAGAATCGACTCCCTGGAACAACAAGCCAGACAGACAAATGTTGAAATCTGTAACGTACCGGAGCGTAGAAATGAAAACCTTATAGGTATCATCGAAGCCATTGGAACAGCGATCCGCTTCCCCATTTCAAAGGCAGACATTGTGTCGATACATCGGGTTCCTCACGCACACAGCACAAATGATAGACCTAAAAACATCATTGCTAAATTCAGCACACGTATACAGAGGGATAATATAATTGCAGCATATCGTAAAGCAAAATCACTGAGGTCTGATCAGCTCGGCATTCAGGGCCAATCTACCACTATATATTTGAATGAACACCTTATACTACAGAAGAAACTGTTATTTCGTAAATGTCGGGAGGTTGCAAAGGAACTTCATTACAAGTATTGCTGGATCAAAAACTCAGCCATTCTTGTTAGAGAGAAAGACGACAGTCCAGTACTGGTCATCCGAGGAGAAGACGACCTCAAAAAACTTCGAATCACTAAAAAGAAGTGATTGTACTAATTCGATAAGTCTAGTCGTAATTATATCTACAACGTTTTACTACCATTTCATGTATTTGATTGATTTACTCTTCTGCACTGACTGCAGTTTTCTCAATGCTAGCTTAAAAGAACAAATGAGCGACTTACACGTCTGTCTTAGCAATCAGGAAAATTTATCACTATTTGTCAATTTTAAAGTTAAAACACAAATCTTATTCTCATCAGATACTAACCATTACAATCTGGCTTTCTACTGTACAATAAGGCACAAATTTATGCTAAAAATAGCTCGTGTTCACACTCAACACTATCTTAGCAAAACGAACATAATACAATGCTCTTTTTTAAATGAATAACACGACTTAAACAAATCATCTTAGTATTTATTATCAAAATTGTAGAGGTATAAGGACCAAATTAAACACACTTTACATGAATATCTTATCTAATAATTATGATGTCATTGTACTCACTGAGACCTGGCTGCTTCCGGATATTGGCAACTGCGAATTTATAGATCAGAGGTATGTGGTTTACAGATATGACAGAGACTGCTTAGCTACCAACAAACAGGATGGTGATGGTGTTCTGGTGGCGGTGCTGCGTGGACTGAAACCTGCTATATTTAACACCTCAAACCCGGATAAATCTCTGCACTCTAAGCATCTTGAATGTTTACTGGTCGAAATTCCTAGTACAAGCCAAATTAGGAAACATGTAATTAGTGCAGCGTATATTCCGCCTCGCAGCTCCCCGGATACATATGAAAAACACTTTGACCTGTTACTTGATTGCCTTAATGATCCTGTTATTGATAGCTTTTATGTGATTGGTGATTATAATATTCCTGATATGACATGGGTTCCATCATCATCCGCCACTTCTGATTATTATAACCAACCTTTACCGTTGAATGGATCTGGATCCACCTATACACATTCCCTATTGTTGAATTTTATGGCATTTCTAAATGCATCGCAATATAATGGAATCTTAAATTCTAATGATAAACTACTGGACCTTTTCATCTCTAACACCTCATCTACTATTAGAGCCCCAACGGATCCACTACTTCCTCCTGATTCCCATCATCCACCTTTCATTGCGATTACTGATATGCATCAGACTTATAAACCAATGAAAAGGCGCCCTCTAACCAAATATAACTTCCGTAAAGCAGATTTTGACCTCATTAATTCCAAGCTTGAAAAAACAAATTGGACGGAACTACTGCAAACGCTTCCATCTGAAGCCTGCATTGAAACCTTTTATATGAGCATAGATGACATCATAAAACAACATGCACCACGTTCTAGTTCTCGCCCCGGCGGATTTCCTGTCTGGTTTTCACGTCCTCTGATTAAAACATTTAAATGTAAACAAAAAAGCCTGGACTAAGTGGAAGAAATATAAAAACCCAAGTGACTACGTACTATTTTCCCAATACAGAAATACATTTAAGATCCTATGCAAACAATGCTATCGTAGGTATATGGACACTATAGAGCAAAATATAACTAAAATTATAAAACATTTTTGGACCTATGTATCGAGTCGCAAAACTGAGACTAAAATTCCGTCCACTTTGCATTACCATAACTTTAAATCCAGCGACCCCGAGACGGTATGTAATATGTTCTCTGACTTCTTTCAATCAGTGTTTGAACCCTCTCCCCCTTCTCTTTCGCATTGGCAGCCTCCATCTTGTACCTCAAGTCACGATATTTTAATTTCTGATATTTACTTCACTGAAACTGAAATTCTAAATGAACTCAAAAATTTAGACACTTCCAAGGGTCCTGGTCCAGATGGCCTTCCTCCACTCTTTTTTCAAACAAACTGCTGAAAATATTTATAAGCCTTTGCACATTATATATAATAAGTGTTTATCAGAGGGTGTTTTTCCTACGAGGTGGAAACATGCAAATATAACTCCAGTTCATAAAACTGGGTCAAAACATGATGTTGAACATTATCGCCCCATCTCTATTCTCTCCGTCTTGTCGAAGGTCCTCGAAAAATTAGTCCACAACCAAATTTACCCGATTCTACACAGGGCTATCATTGAAGAACAACATGGTTTCGTTAAACATAGATCTACTACTAGTAATCTACTTACCTTTACGAATAATTTATTTGCAAGAGTTGATGAAGGCTTTCAAGTAGATGCTGTATATACAGATTTTAAGAAAGCTTTCGACAAGGTGGATCATGAGATTCTTCTTAACAAGATTGCATTCAATGGTATTCGTGGTAATTTGCTGCGCTGGTTTGCATCTTATATTCAAAACCGTTCCCAAAAAGTTGTAGTAAATGGATATCAGTCAAGGAACGTTTTGGTTACATCGGGCGTTCCTCAAGGATCCATTCTTGGACCATTGTTATTTATTATTTTTGTTAATGATATAGATAAATGTTTTCTTAACTCCAATTTCCTATTATATGCCGACGACCTGAAAGCCTACAAAACTATTAAAAACATAGAAGACTGTATATCTTTCCAAAGCGATCTTGACAGATTAACAACATATTGCAACATTAATAAATTACAATTGAGCATTCCAAAATGTCACTATATAAACTTTACAAAAAAGAAAAATATTGTCCGTTTTAATTACATCCTCTGTAAAAAGTCCTTGGCCAAAGTGACAGACGTAAGGGATTTGGGGATTCAGTTGGACTCTAAGCTACAACTAAGCATCCATATTGATAAGATAGTCAAACAAGCTTTTAAAATGTACAGATTTGTTATGAGATCTTCTACTGACTTCAAACGAACTACCACATACTTATACCTCTATAAAACTCTTGTTCGTTCCCAGCTTGAATATGCTGTACCTATATGGAATACTATAAAGTATACAAAGAAGCTATTGAGAAAGTCCAAAATAAGTTTTTGCGTGCCATGTACTATAGATGCCATAAATCTTACTTGTCTCGTATCCCATTGCTGAGAGAGTTTGGTGTTTTGTCGCTTGAATGTAGACGTAAATATCTTGAAGCTATAACATTGTATAAAATAGTAAACAACAAATTTAGCAGTACTGAGTTAGTTTCCAATTTAAATTTCGTAGTTCCTAGAAGTGCTCATATACGTGCTGTGCGCGCTCGTAACTTGTTCGCCGTCAGTACATGTCGTACAAATACCGGCTCGCGCGCGCCAGTTCGCCGTATGATGCATTCTTTTAACGAGTTTTTCAATGATGGTAACATAGATTTGTTTACACCGAATATTCTTGCTTTTAAAAGATCTATATTTGAAAAACTAAAAATGTAAAAATAATATTATTTTGGCTCTTTGTTTTTTAGCTTTTAGTTATAAAGTTTTTATTCAGCGTCCGCGACAATTTAATTAACATTGTAATTAATATGTGGATAGCGTTGTGGGCTACATTATTGTGAATACATCATGTTATTTTATTTTAGATATTACTGTATTTTGTAGCTGTTTGCTGTTCCTTAATAAATAAAATAAAAAAAAATTAAAAATAAAATAACCTTTGCACTGCATTTTCGGATATAAGGGAAGTTTGTGATCCTTGGTCCAAAAGTGCGCGCAGTGTGATGTAAGATCCATCTGTTGTCCGTACTTGCATCTTAATTGTGGCAAGTAATATTTCATCATCATTTCCAGCCACGTGGTTTGATTGTACATGTGGTTTCGAGCCCTGTGACTTCGAAGCCGTTGTCGACATGTTCCCCGAACTTGCATTATTCGCCGCCTTTGTAATATAAGCGTTGTGCAATAATGTGTTATGTTTCTTGTGACATTTCTTGCACCGTTTTTCGGTATTACATTCGTATTTATGCACGTATAAACAATTTTTGCATATGTGTAGTTTCGAAATGGTATGTAATTTCGTTTCAGGTGTTATGACTTCGAATTGTTTGCATTGAAGCAATGTGTGATTTTGTTTGCATAAAGGACAAGTAGGTATAAACTTGGAGTTAACATAAAATGATTTCTTAAGTGATGTATCTCTGTTCTTATAAATTGCAGGTTTTTGGTAATAACGTTGTCCCCATATTGAAAACACCATGAATGCATTCTATTGATACGTCGTGAAGTCGTTTAAGTTCTGTTGATGATTGTTTTTGGATGTTAGGTTGATTTATTAGAGTTTCAATGTGCTTTGTAAAGAGAACTTGCTGATTGTCATAGCGATTAATTAATATTTTCCACGCGGAGTCATAGTTTTCCGAAGAAATATGCAAATGTTGTATTAGGCGCTCGGCTTCACCTCTGACCTTCCCCTTTAAGTGCTGCATCTTTTGTGCCTTAGTCATCGAAAGATTGTTGTGAATGGCTTCTTTAAAGAGGTCAGAAAATGTACGCCATTGGATATAATTTCCCGAAAACATAGGTATTTCTATTTTTGGTGTTGTTAAGTGCACATAGTGTTGAGATGTTAATTTCTTGTTTAACAACCTATTTACGTTCTTAAACTTGACCTCCATTTCATTATATTCCTCGTCGTATTTTAAATCGGAACCTTCGAGAATATTGTCAATTTTCAAGTGTGTTTCCTCGATGTTGCTCCAACGATTTTGAAGGTTTCTCAACTCATACTCTAACTCCCATTTTTCATCCATGTTTTCAATGTCTATGTTCTCAGTTATTCTCGAAAATGGACGAAAATTAGTTCGCTGCAAGCTTAATAACTCTTTACATTTCTCAAGGTCAACCTGGGTGGTATTATCCTTAGTCGATTCATCCTTTGATTCACACACATACACATTCATCATTCCACGCGTTTTGCTATACAAATGTTCATACACAAGAAAAATGTCGTTTGTAAAATATTCGTGAGTCTTGTCTTCTAATGTCAATAATTGTTCGTTGTTGCTTTTGAATTCGACCCAAAGTTCATCCAAATCTTTGATTCTCTTCTGTATGTATTCCTTGGTTTTTCTTACCTTCGGATCCTTTTTGAAATTGGTATTAAGCCTTCTGATCTCGTTTACGATTTCAAACTGTCTTTGCAATAAGGCTTGCATGGTGATAATTTA